CCTGGACTGTCACCCTCTCCCATGAAGACACACCCCACAGGGGCTCACAGACACCACACCTGGACTGTCACCCTCTCCCATGAAGACACACCTAACAGGGGGTTCAGGGACACCACGCCTGGACTGTCACCCTCTCCCATGAAGACACACCTCACAGGGTGTTCAGGGACACCACGCCTGGACTGTCACCCTCTCCCATGAACACACACCCCACAGGGGGTTCAGGGACACCACACCTGGACTGTCACCCTCTGTCATGAACACACACCCCACAGGGGCTCAGGGACACCACACCTGGACTGTCACCCTCTGCCATGGTCCAAGGGTGAAAGGTTCCTTCTGTGTGAGGCTGTCCCGGGTTCTCTCAGCCACACTGATGTTAGCACTGTGTGCTGGATCATTCTTTGCTGTGGGGGGCTGTCCTGTGTGTTATGAGATGCTGAACAGCATCCCTGGCCTCTACCCACTGGATGCCAGTGGCACCCCCTGCATCCAGCTATGACAACCAGACATATTTCCAGACATTGCCAAATGTCCACTGGGAGAAAAAATATTGCCCCTGGTAAGAATGTTCTGCAATATTCAGAACCGCCTGTGTCTGGGTCATACTCACACAGAGGCTGTCTCCTGCCCTCCCTTCTCCTCACCACACTGGGCTCTCCCAGGCCTACCCTCACTCACTCCCCTGCTTCTCCACCGGCTTTTCTCTCCCTCTCCCATTTTTTGCCCCTTTCCTCTCTTCTTCAATGCTATGAAAGCATATTTTGATTTTCTACATGTAATGAATAAGGTTTAGGGTTATTCAGTCTCTCTCTAGCCAAGGGCCAAGGCTAGGGAAACCTAATAAGACAGAACACTTTTAGATAGTAACTGCCTTACTCCAGTCCAACAGCTCAGCAAAACTTCAGCCTCACCCCAACTCTGTTAGTAAAAGTTGAGTGGGAGCCCAGGCTGCCACCCTTGCTGGGCTGTACAGAGGTGACCTGCTAAAACAAAAAATAAGATCCCCAGTCTCGTAATACCCAAAATGTTCCAGATGCTCCATTCCTCCTACCAAGAACCAGGAAATATCTCAACATGAATGAGAAAGGTAACCAATAGATGCCAGCATGAAGGTGCCAGAGGTGTTACAAGGATCTGACCAGGATTTTTAAGTGGCCGTCATAAAAATGCTTGTGTGGACAATTATAATTATGCTTGAAACAAAGGAAAAGACAGAAAAACCTCAGCAAAGAAACAGAAGACAGAAGCACCAAACAGAAATTCTGGAACTGAAAAATACAGTGACCGAAATAAAAAACTCACTGGATGGCTGAACCACAGATTGGAAAGGACAAAGGAAAAAAATGAGTGAAGGTGAAGACAGGGCAATACCAACTAAGTGATCCAAACACAGAGAAAAACAGATGGGAGGAAGAAAACAGAGCCTCACCAAGCGTAGGACCTACTGCTTATATCATTAGAGTACCAGCTGAAGAGGAAAAAGAAGGGAAGCAATTGGAGAAATCAAATCATAGCTGTGGCCTGGCCCCGTGGCTCATGCCTGCAATCCCAGCACTTTGGAAGCCCAACATGGAAGGATGGCTTGGGGCCAGGAGGTCAAGACTATCCTGGGCACACAATAAGACCCCATCTCTACAAAAAAATTAAAAATTAGCTAGGCATGGTGGCATGCACCTGTAGTCCCAGCTACTTGAGAGGTTGAGGCAGGAGCACTGCTTGTGCCGAGGAGTTCAAGGTTGCAGTGTGCCATGGTCACTGCACTGCAGCCCTGGGCAACAAAGTGAGACCCTATCTCAAAAAGAAAGAAAAAAAAAGCTGAAATTTTACCAAATTTGGCAAAAGATATAGACCTATACGTCCAAGAATCTTTAAATCCCAAATGGGTCAAATCCAAAGAAATTTCTACCCAGACACATCATAATTAACTTCTGGAAACTACAGACAAAGAAAAAATCTTGAGAGCAGTGAAAGAGAAATGACAACTTACCCACAGGAAACAATCTGAGTGATAGTGGTGGTGGATTTCTCATCAGAAACCATGGAAGCATGGAAGAAAGTGAGGTGACACTTTCTTTTTTTTTTTTAAAGTACTGAAAGAAAAGAAATGTCAACCCACATTTCTATACCCAGAAAAAATGGCATTCAGGAATGAAAGGAAAATCAAGGCATTTTCAAACAAAGAAAAACAAGAAAATGCGTCCCAGACCTACCCTAAAAGACTGGCTAAAAGAATTTTTTCAACAAAAAGGGAAGGGTAAATGAAAGAAACATGAAATATTGAAAGAAAGAACAGGGTAAGCAAAGCTATGTATAAGTACAACAGACTGTCCTTCTGTTCTTGAGTTTTCTAAATTGATTGACTGTTGAAACAGGAACCAGCTATATTATTTTCAGGGCCCAATGCAAAATTAAAATGTGAGGTCCCAGCTCCTCAAAAAGCTAAATATAGTATTACTATATGGTCCAAAGATTCTACTCTTAAATATATAGCCAAAAGAATCAGAAGCAGGGGCTCAGACAGATACCTGTACATCAATAACTGTCAGATTGGCTCGGCATGTGTGGCTCAAGTGGCTAAGGCACCAGCCACATACACCTAAGGTGGTAGGTTCGAATCCAGCCTGGGCTCGCCAAACAACAATGATGGCTGCAACCAAAAAATAGCTGGGCGTTATGGCGGGCGCCTGTGGTCCCAGCTACTTGGGAGGCAGAGGCAGGAGGCTCACTTGAGCCCAGGAGTTGGAGGTTGCTGTGAGCTATGATGCCACGTTACTCTACCCAGGGGGACAGCTTGAGGCTCTGTCTCAAAAAAAAAAAAATAACTGTTGGATTATTTACAATAAGTAAAAGGTAGAAACAACCCAAGTGTCCACCAAGAAATGAATAAAAAAATTTGATGTATATATACAATGAAATACTTCCCAGTGATAAAAAGGAATGACATTTTGATGCATGCCACAACATGGATGAATCTTGGGGACATTTTTTTTTTTTTGAGACAGAGTCTTAAGCTGTCACTCTTGGCAGAGTGCTGTGTTGACACAGCTCACAGCAACCTCAAACTCTTGGGCTTAAGCGATTCACTTGCCTTAGCCTCCCAAGTAGCTGGGACCACAGGCGCCTGCCACAACGCCTGGCTATTTTTTGTTGTTGTTGTTGCAGTTGTCATTGTTGATTTTAGCTGGCCCAGGTTCAAGCCCGCCAGCTTCAGTGTATGTGGCTGACGCCTTACCCATTGAGCTATGGGCACCGCCACTGGAGATATTATTTTAAGTGAAAAAAGCCAGTCACAAAAAGACCGATATATGCTTCTACTTATAGGAAATACCTAGAGTAGGCAAATTCATGGAGACAGAAAGGAGAATAAGGGTTACCAGGGGCTGAGGGCAGGGAGTGGGGAGTTATTGCCTAAGGGGTACAGAGTCTCTGTTTGGGGTGATGAAATCGTTTTGGAAATAGATAGTGGTGATGGTTGCACAACACTGTGAGTGTAATTAGTGCCAGTGAATTGTACACTTAAAAAGGTTAAAAGTCAAGTTTTATATTGTTTCTATTTTATTACAACTAAAAATAATAATGTAATTCCCCCAAAACCACTGACTTTGCTTTAAATGGCTGCATTGCATGGTATGTGAATTATGCTGCAATGAAGGGGAGGGAGGGAGGGAGGGAGGAAGGAAGGAAGGAAAGGAGGGAAGGAAGGAAGGAAGGAAGGAAGGAAGGAAGGAAGGAAGGAAGGGAGGGAGGGAAGGAGGGAGGGAAAGTAGTTTCTGGGGAGGGAAACTGATTAGTGACAAGTCCCAAGACAGATTTTTCCCTATATACCCTTTTTTGCCTTTTAATTTTGTACTGTGTCACATGTTTTACATTTTCAAAAAGTAAATTACACTTTTTTTTTTTTTTTGAGGCAGAGTCTTACTCTGTCGCCCCAGACTAGAATGCCCCAGAGCCATAGCTCACAGCAACCTCAAATTCCTGGGCTCAAATGATCCTCCTGCATTAGCCTCTGAAGTAGCTGGGACTACAGGTGCCCACCACCACGCCTGGCTAGTTTTTCTCTTCTTAGTAGAGATGGGGTCTTGCTCTTGCTCAGGCTGGTCTTGAACTCCTGAACTCAAGCAATCTACCCACGTCAGACTCCCAGAGTGCTGGGGTTACAGGGGTAAGCCACCATGCCTGGCTCATATTTTTGAAATTAAAAAGCCCTTATTTAGATATTAAGCATCTTAAGACATCGACAGCAGAGGCTGAAATCCAGTGTGGGTCCTTCTGAGTGTGAGCCACTGAGTCCCATGCCAAGAAGCCAGACCTGGAGCCCTGAGCGCCGTTGCCTCTATATCTTCTTGCTAAAAGATACATCTCCAGAAGAGTCATCCATTCCAGGCATAAATCAAAACTACCAACAGGTTGCTGGTTTATGTTCCCTGCCCCCCACCTCACCTGCCGGTGCAACAGCTGGAGGGGAGCAGGGACAGTTGCCCTTGGCTGGAGCCGGGGCCGCCTCTGCTGCCCTCATGTTCTCTCTGCTACCACCAAGGGCTCTAAGGAGGGTGCGAAGGGAGGCTTTCTCAACCCAGGCATTCCTTGTTTTATTTTTTTAATTTTTTTTAAAATAAAAGCTCTTGAACTCAAGCAATCCTCTAGCCTCAGCCTCCCGAGTAGCTGGGACCTGCCACAACAGCTGGCTAGTTTTTCTATTTTTAATAGAGATGGCGTCTCGCTCTTGTTCAGGCTGCTCTCAAACTCCTGAGCTCAGGCCATCCACCAGTTTGGCCTCCCAGAGTGCTGGGATTACAGCGGTGAGCCAGACTTTCCTTGGCTATCACTCAGCAGCAGAGCACCTGCTAAGGCCCAGCACGCAGGGGACACTGCACTCAGGACTGTCTATGTGTTATCTCCTTCAGACCTCAGCTCCGCGGTTTGCAGGTCAGGAAACGGAGTCCACGGTCCCGGGGAATGGGGTCCTCCACCCGCTTTATGCCCAGCCAGACCAGGGGAAAGCCAGCCCAGACCAGAAGGTGGACACACATTCTCAGAGCCCAACTCCAGGCCCTGCTAGAGAGGACTTTACCCCTCAGGTGGTGGCCACCAGCAAGGTGACCGGCACAGGCCCTGGGCTATCAGATCTGCCCCATCTTATAGGAGAAGCTGGAGCACCGCATAGCTGTGGAGTCTGCACAATGTATTTCTGTGTTGTTTACACTGAGACAAACATGTGCATGTACAGCCGGCCTGTGCTTCCACCCCAGCCTCCAGCCTCACCAGACCACCCGTGACAAGCTGCAGGGGCGTCCACCTGGATGCATGGAATCCAGGAGTGTGTGAACGGGGCAGCCCGCCCACCTCCCTGCTGCAGGACACTGCCAGCCCCCAGGCCCTCCTCACTTGGGGATGGAGAGCAGTGTGGCCTGGGCGGTCATATCCCAGATCTTGATGCACCTGTCCAGCGAGACAGAAGCCACTTTCTGGCTGTCAGGGTCAAAGCAGCAGGCGGTGACGGACTTGCTGTGATGATCTGTGGCACAGGGAGTGACTTGTTACCACACCTTCCTCATACCGGACTGAAGGGCTCACAGCCCCCCCAGCCACAATGATACTGTGAAATGCAATCCCAGCTTTCCTAAGGGGCTATTCACCTGCACAGACATTTCCTGAGTGCCTACTGTGTGCCAGGTTTTGAACAAGGAGTAAGGTGGCCTGCCCTCTGTCCTTACAGAGTTCCCAGGCTGATAAGGGTTCAATGAGCTGCCTCACAGGCCATCAGTGGATGCACGAGGCTCCCTGCCGGCCCCGCAGACACCTGGCCCAACCTGAGGCGCCCAGGAAGGGCTCTAGACATCAGCAAGCAAGGCAGGAAAGCAAGAGCACCAGACAGAAGGAACAGCGCACACACAGAGGCCTGACGGTGGCTGGTGCACAGAGCAAGGGGAAGTGGAGTAGGAGGTGACCCGCTAAGGGAAAAGTGCAAGCTGTGGGCAGGGTGCATGCGCCATGTGGATAAAAGGAAACGTATGGGAAGTAGAGCTGTGCCAGCCGGAAGGCCACCCAGCAGCGTCACAGGCTCCCTGGGGGCGGGGAGGGGGGCAGGATATGCAAATAGGCTTTTGGCTTTTTAGTTTACATAATGAATTTCTTTACAACGGTTACACGTTTTTTTTCCATTTTGCAATAACTGTAAACTCCCGTGCAGGTATAAGGAACAGCACAGATTCTGTATGCCCTTCACCCAGTTCCCCCGTAGTGACATCCTACATAACCATCGTAGCACAACAGCATGAGGAGGAAATTGACAAATGATGGTTACTATTTTTCTATTTTAAAAAGACAGGAAAAATGGCTCAGCACCCATAGCACAATGGTTGCAGTGCCAGCCACATACACTAAGGGTGGCAGGTTCGAACCTGGCCCAGGCCAGCTAAACTGCAACAACAAAAAAATAGCCAGGTGTTGTAGCGGGCGCCTGTAGTCCCAGTTACTTGGGAGGCTGAGGCAAGAGAATCACTTAAGCCCAAGAGTTTGAGGTTGCTGTGAGATGTGATGCCACAGCACTCTACTGAGGATGACAAAGAGAGACTCTATCTCAAAAAAAAAAAAAAGAAAAATACGGGCAAAAATATTTCCACTTTGAATGCCCCTCCCAACCCAGTAAGGTCAGAACAGACCATTATTTCTTTTGTTACAAGCAGGAGACTGAGGAGGATCAGTCTTGGTTTTAACTATCAGTGCTGTGGGCCAGCAGTGACCCAGCATGTATCATTATAGTCCGTACCATCATAGTCTCACCAAATACAGGAATCAACAGTTGTCAGTGCCAAGTGGCTATGACGATGGCAGACGGGACAGACAGGAAACTCGGGCAACCTCACCTTTGATGAGTGCAATGGTGGTGGTGTTTTCCGCATCCTTTATGGAGATTCCATGATCCAAATCAAAGCCCAAGACCACGTATTTACCGTCAGGAGAAAATTTACTGGCGACGATGAAGGAATCACACTCCATCTTCCACTGAAATGAGGCAATAATCACAAGGTGGTTTTCTCTCTCCTGCCCAGGGGCCCAGCAGGACTGTCTGTGATGATGGGGATGTTCTGTCTACACACTGCCCAGCGTGGTAGCCGCTGGCTGCATGTGATCGCTGGGCACGTGTAATGAACTAGTTTAAGTAAGGAACTGAATTTATTAATTTCACTTAATTAATTAAACTAATAAATATAATGCATTCATCTGTGTTAACTGCCATGTCCCAAGAGTGCTCAAGCAGCCCTGTGTCTCCATGGAGACCTACATGGAGAAGAACAGAGGTCTGGGCCAACAGCTATATGAGGGAGCCATCTTAGGAGGGAACCTTCAGCCTCGTGGCATCTTGAGACGACTGCAGCCCCAGATGACATTTTAATTGTGACTTCACAAGAGACCTGAACAAGAACCACCTGGTTAAGCGACCCTTAGACTTCTGTCAGAAATTGTGTGAGAAAATAAACATTTGTTAGTTGAAACTGTTATGTTTCGAAGTAATTTATCAAGCACTGGTAGATAACAAATTCAGCTCTATAGTTGGCTTGCAGCTAAACTAAAAAAAAAGTTTTAAAAGAGAAAGAAAAGCACCTCAAGTAGAAAAACAGGCTGTAGAAAGGAGAAATAAACATCTGAGAAAATGCTCAAAGTCAAGAGCAATCAGTACAAGTCTCATTTGTCACCTATACTAAATTGGCTAAGATTTTTAAAAATCGTGATGCTACCCAGCATGTGAGGATGGGGATGGTGGGCTGTCCTCGAGTGCCCAGGCCAGTGATTTTCAACTGATGCATGCTGGTGTGCCTGCCATGAGAGGGTCTCAAGTGTGCTGCAAACATTTTTAAAGCTCATTAATTAAATTATTTTTGAAAGAAGTTCAAGCACAGTAAGAATATGATTTTTTTTACTCTTTTTTTTTATCAACATAATTTAAGTGTGCCACAGAAGTTTAACTATGGGTTCAAGAGTGCCATGAGAGAAAAAAGGCTGAAAAACACTGGCCTACAGCATAAATTGGCATAGTTTCTGAAGGCAATATTTAATTTAATTTTATTTTTTTTTTTTGAGTTTCAAAAACGGGTAGAGTGCCATGGCGTTGTAACTCGCAGCAACCTCAAACTCTTGGACTCTTCGCCCTGCCACTAAAAAAGTTTATTTTAAAACTCTGTGTTTCTATACTGTTTAAATAGCAGTGATATCATTAAGAGATGTTGGAGTGGCCGGGCACAGTGGTTTATGCCCGTAGTCCTAGCACGCTGGGAGGCTGAGGAAGGAGGATCACTTGAGCCCAAGAATTTGAGTTTGCTCTGAGCTAGGATGCCAGGACTCTATCCAAGGCTACAAAGTGAGACTCTGTCTCAAAAAACAAAGAAAAAAAGAAGTGGAGATACTGGAGCATATTTTTAGAAAATAAATGCAAGTTTTCCACATTGTAGCATTGTTTATAAGAGACAAAAACAGCCTTGATGCCCTATGCCCAGGAAAGGTGCAGCAGGGCCTGCCACTTCCATTCTGTGGGGTATCATATCCCCATTACAAAGGATGAGGCAGGGGCATCCACATTCACCATTTATTAAGTCGGGGAGGGGGAAAGTCAGGGTTCAGAAAATATGTGTCATGACATATTTGCCTGTGTTCACATGTAGGAAAAATAGATACCAAAATGTCAAATGTAATCTGAGGGGTAGTTTTAAGAAAATATAGCTTAGGCCAGGCGCAGTGGCTGACCCCTATAATCCCAGCACTCTGTGAGGCTGAGAAAGGTGGATCGCCTGACCTCAGGAGTTAGAGACCAGCCAGAGCAAGCGTGAGACCCTGTCTCTACTAAAAATAAAAAAACTTTGCTCGGCGCCTGTGGCTCAAGCGGCTAAGGAGCCAGCCACATACACCTGAGCTGGTGGGTTCCAATCCAGCCTGGGCCCGCCAAACAACAATGATGGCTGCAACCAAAAAAAAAAAAAAATAGCTGGGCGTTGTGGCAAGTGCCTGTGGTCCCAGCTACTTGGGAGGCTGAGGCAGGAGACTTGTTTGAGCCCAGGAGTTGGAGGTTGCTGTGAGCTGTGATGCCACAGCACTCTACCCAAGGGAATAGCTTGAGGCTCAGTCTCAAAAAAAAAAAGAGAGAA